TAGGCCGTTGGCCTAAACATGCCGGCCCCCTTTGCGAAGCGAAAAAATCTGAATTCCACGTGTTCCGGCCACTATGTTCCAATTAGCTCCTTAATTTTAAAAAATTATCTAATAATGTAAATGTTCTTCGTTGCCGTTGTCCATGTACCTAAACTCTGTAAGGTAGAAGAAATTATTATTTAAAGACGTGGGTTTCAAAAATTCAACTGCACATTTATTCAATAAAGATAAGAAAACAATTCAGTGGTTATGTGTAATTCATTATTAACAAAAATAAACTTAACTAGGAAAATAAATAGTATTGAAAATAAAAACAAAGAAATGCGGTTTTAACATGCGCCTGACAATACCCATCCGAAAATGGTGTTTTGCGCTAGTAGCGGACCGAGAGTTCCCGCTGGAATTGCGCCTAACAACATCTTCGGGAAAACTTCGGCACCTAGCACTAAGCGGACGGGAGCTGCGATGTGGAAGTGGGGATCGGCGAGCTTTATGTTGTTGTACGGTGCTGCGACCGTGGCATCGAGGCTTTTCAAAGGTGTTTGTTGCCGGTAGTTCCGTACGGCCACCGCGTGCAATGTAATTGTCGCGGAATTTCCGTGCTTTCCGCGTAGCTTCATAAAACACCCTCTTTGATTTCCGACTGCCGTTAAACAGAGCTTCAGCTCTTGCGCAAGGTCTAGTGCGATAATGGACGTTGCGGCACACGGGTTTATTAACGCTCTTACCAGGTGCAAGCGGCCTCCTGCTTCTACCCTCACTATGGCTGTAGGCGCAACTGCGGTAAGTTGTTGTAGCGGATTCATAGGGGCCTGCACTTGCCCAGACCGAAAACCATTTCTTGCTGGGAGGTGGAATGCATGAGATTCCACTCTCCCGTTGTGACGCTGACGCCGTGGGCGGTGGTTGAAACGTCGAGTTTGAGTGCGGTACCAATTGTTTCGCGGTTGGAAAGTTCTCGTTTCCAATCCGCTTACCTCTCTTGGCTCATACCTCAAGAGCTGCCCGTAATACTGGGGTTCCAGTTCCACTTCCTCAGCCGAATCCGGATGGAGTGCGTTTGACTCCATTCCGGTGGATTCATCTGGGCGGAAAGCGTTAGTTTCCGCTCCAGCGACTGGCATTTCTTCCTCTTCCAGGTCTGGGCGGAAAGCATTAGTTTCCGCTCCGACCTCAGACGCATCTAATGAAAGCGCATCATCACTATCACTGTCGTTCATTGGCCGCGTTGTGTGATCAATATGAAGCATCGTGTGGTGTTCTTCATTACAGCGTCGGCATCTCCCTGGGTTAGTGCAGTGGGCTGCACGATGTATCCCCGATAAACAATTCGTGCAGTAGCGATGAATCAGAACGTCACGCAGGCGTTCTTCTGGCCTTTTGGCACGAAATATTGGGCATACTCTTAAGGGATGCTTCTTACTGCATAATCTGCACGTCAGCGGGTAATTATTTGCCTCAGCTTGTTTGCGTACATTAGTGAAGCGAGTCATCTTCTGAAATAATCTTGTATGTAGCGCACCGACAAAAATGATCGATTTTGGAATGGCGAGCAATATGGGAAACAAACTAAAGGTTTTTCCAACTTTTCGTAATTTCGCTAACTTTGACTAAAAGTGCACAGTGTTGTGACCCCTTAATGATTGATAGATGGTTTGACCGTGCATGCAAGCCTTTATGGTTGATGGGTTGGTACAACAGGGTTGCAAGAGGTATCTGGGTTTCTTCCCTGACATGGAGATTGCACGAAAACGTGTGCCGAAAACAAATTAATACGTAGAAATTGTCATATTCTTCATCACTCTCTGTGCTCGCATTAAATGGCATCAATGAAAACTTGTGCAATTGATGCATTAAATTGCATCAAGGAAAAAAACTTACGCAATTGAAAAAATAGATAATAATAAATAATTATGTATTATTTATTACTACTCACCCCCTCTATATGAAAAAAGGCACACATAATTTCCATTACTGCAATCACTAACTGCACACACCCACTATTATGCAGATCTGCACAAAATTTGCGCAGACCTGCTACAGAAAATGCCAAGTGCACTCTCGGTGTTATTATCGAAAGAACTCTCCACAGTATCGAATTGTTTAATACATCGATATCGATAATACACCTCTACTTCCGTCAATGGCCGGCTGTCATTCACAAACCACATTACACATACCTATTCGTGTTTACTACAAGTTCGGTTGTGCGGTGCCGGTGAAATATTTTGAATCAATCGAAAAAAAAACATAACAAGCGGCGCGAGATTAACCCGTTGGTGTTGTGAGAAAATAAATGCAGAAAAGAAATTGGGGAACGAAATGGCTAACTCCAGGTGAATAATTGTGTAAGTAAAGCGAACGTACAAACAAACAAAACAAATATGTGAAAACAAAGTGCCTTAATTATGAAAAATGTGCGTAAATTATTGTTAACTAAAAATGCGTAAATTAAGTTAATTCCATCAAAAAAACGTGCATAATAAAAAATATATAGGTTTTGGGAAACGTACATATGCACAGAAGTACCGGTGGAATATTCAATTCCCTTACAGTTCTGTGGCTTATGTACAGTCATACCCAGTAAGAAATCTATGCGTTAACTAATGCGTTATATATGCCTGGTACTGCAAACAGTTTGTGTGAGAATTCAGAGAAAAAAAAAAAAAAAAAATTTTTTTCTCGTTTTACATAGGGCTCGTGGAGAAATATAACGCATAATCGTGTCACGTGTGAGCAGTTTTCTCTATCTTTTATACGGAATTTGCGATTATAGTATCCTATATGTTGTTGTGTCTTTCCAATCAAATATTATTACGCGATTAGTAACGTGTTATATAACGCAAAAAATGGCGTATGAATATCGCTAATGTGCAAATGTGTTGTTTTTAATTGAAAATTTTGTAAGTGGATTGGAGAATGCGTTAGGACGTTCCTGCGGGGTATGTACATACATATGTACATGTTGTACTAGTTGTTCGCGTTAAGGGTGTGTCAGACGGGAAGGATAAAATTTATTTCTACATGCGAAGAAATAAACATTGCGAAGTGTGACCGCAGCTGAAAAGAGTGCTAATCGATTTCGAAAAATATATTGCAACTTGCTCGTGTTTCGCTAGCAATTTTCACTTATGCTGCAAGTTTTGTCAAATAACGAGTGTTGCCGAGTGAAACTGATTGCAAATTGTGAAAAATAATAAAAGATAATTTGGAAAAATTAATAAAAAAAACGTTTTGGAAATAAACCTAATTTCAGCAGACACTACAAAATTTCCCACTGTGCCAGCTTATCCGAAAAAATATTGCACTACAATGTCTGACAACCCCTTTATACCGTCGTAGTTTCGGTACATGTATGTATATATGTACATACATACATACATATGTATGTATGAAATGCAGCTCAACGCATGAACGGCACAATTTTGGCACATTCCATACTTTTGCATTAGAGATGGTCAATGGCGCGTATATTTGTGTGTTGACACAGTGTGTTGGTATCATTGTGTCATTGCTGTTGCGCTACTGCACTGGGTTACAGATTGCTAAAGTGTGTCATTTAAAAAGATAATAGTACGTAAATGCGTTCGCCGGCAAATACGTTGAGCTCGAAAAGTCGAATGAACATTAATACGGGTGAATTCGTTGACGGTTAAAATTACATATGTGGATATGTTTAAAGCTGTTTTTTTTTTTTCGTTGTTTATAAAGGAACGTGCAGCACAGGGCATGGATTAACGCATCGAAGGAATATTGTTGTCGATGCAGCCAGGATGGCCGGCAATATGCGCTATCCACAATGCCCAGTGGATCAAAAATCATTGGAACGTGGATGCTTCTGAAGCAGATCCAGCCACCATGCCATCAAAGAAAAAGGGATCGGCCGATGAAAAGAAAGCGGGGTAAGTGCTGTTTTTTTTACAATTAAAAATTCTTCTTTGTTCGACTAACTTGCTATTAATTCAAACCTGCCTACTCTGCTCGCGGGCCGTTCTATGGTGACTGGTGTAATGTGATTGTGTAAAATAAATTCACATATGTAGATGGAAAAAAATTAATGAAATTTAAACATCAAACACGTTAGTTCTCATTCGGGATAGCTAGAATTGGATTTACTTTCATGTTGTTTACGTCTTTGAAATAGCAATATGTACAAATAGCGATTCTTCTCATTGGCAAGTTGTTTTCGCATACGAAAACGTTAACGACATGAAAAAATTCCTAGCAATTTCTACCATAGTTATTGAACAGTGTGTGTCTAAAATGAACTATCGTCTTAATGGTTCAATTTCAATTCAATATGCAAATTTATTTTTGAATTTCAATTCAATATGGAAAGGTGTGGTAGGTGGAAGGGTTTTTTTTTTTTCGTATGGATTTATACAGACGCCATAGTTTCATCGTTATCCGTGGTATAGGGTGGTAGTAGTACTAGTTTGACAAGGGGTCTTGTCACTCTACCCTTTTCAGTTATGACCTCTACAACACGAACTCGATTGTCAGAACCTGGGTGCAAATTAGCCACCCTTCCTAATCTCCATTCGTTAGGTGGAAGATTATCCTCTCTTATGACCACCATGCCTCCCACTTTTATGTTGGATTTAGGATGTTTCCACTTTATTCGTTTCTGTAGTTCGGTAAGGTACTCCGATTTCCACCTCCTGCAGAAGTTTTGATGCAAGGCTTTGAGTTTCTGCCAACGATTGACGATCGAGGCTGGGTTTTCGTTCACATCTAGTTCTGGTGGAGCCAAGATGTGTCCGCCTACCAAAAAATGACCTGGAGTTAAGGGCTCAAGGTCAGATGGTTCATTGGAAGCTGGGCTCAGCGGACGTGAGTTGAGACACGACTCAACTCGGCATAGTAGAGTGTTGAATTCCTCAAATGTGTACTTCATATTAGACGCGATCTTTTTAAAGTGGCTTTTAAAGCTTTTCACACCTGCCTCCCACAGACCACCCATGTGAGGAGCTGCGGCAGGTATGAAATGCCAAGTCAATGCCTGATGGGCATATTTTGATAACGTATTAGTCCGCGCTTCGGATAGAAATGCCTTTAGTTCCGCTTTTAAAGCCCGTGATGCTCCTACGAAATTTGTCCCATTATCTGAGTATACATTTTTTGGACACCCTCGTCTGGAAACGAATCTGGAAAATGCTGCTAAAAACGATTGAGTACTTAGGTCGCTTGTGGCCTCTAAATGAATGGCCTTGGTAGAAAAGCAGACAAATAGACACACATAACCCTTTGACATTCGGCAGCCTCGTCCACGATAACTCTTAATGTCGAATGGTCCAGCAAAATCAACCCCAGAATTGGTAAATGGTCGCGAAAAAGTTGTTCGCTCTTGTGGAAGAATCCCCATAAGTTGGCCTTGCGCGCGTTTTTTATAGATAGTGCAGATCTTGCAGTTATGGATTGTGGACCTTATCATCGTTTTCACCTTCGGAATCCAATACTGCGTTCGTATGAGACGCAACATTAGTTGATTCTCACCATGGAGAGAAGTTTCATGGATGAATTGGACAATCAGACGGGATAATCTACAATTGTATGGGAGTATAACGGGATGCCGTTCGTTGTACGCTAGATCCAGAGATGTGCCAAGACGACCCCCCGTCCGCAGCACATCATCTTTATCCAGAAATGGATTAAGAGGAAGTATTTCACTCTTAGACTCAATGCATTCTTTAGTTTTCAGTTTCGCGATTTCTGCTCCGTAATGTTGCTTCTGAGCAAGTTTAATCAGGCGAGTAGTCGTTGATTTAATTTCATTAGATGAAATTAAGCAAGATTCCGACTGAAAAGAAGCTTTTGTCTTCGGATGGGTTCTTTGAAAGAAACGCAATATATAAGATATCACCCTCAAAGCCCTCGGTAAACTAGAAAACCGGTCAAGAAAGTCATTGATTTTGTCTGTCGATGTTGTTGCATGAACGTGCACCCTTTTTTCCTCAATGCTCGTGGTGAAGTCTGTCTCTTGGATTGGCCAATTTTCCCTATTTTCTTGTAGCCAAGAAGGTCCCTGCCACCACAAAGAATTTTTGACCAATTCGTTCGCCAGTATGCCTCTGCTTGCTAAATCTGCGGGATTCGTAGCTGAATCGACGTGAAGCCAGTTCAAGTTCCCTACTTTGTCTAAGATTTTTGTAATTCGGTGGGCAACGAAGGTTGACCACGAACAGGGGGGCTTGCGTATCCACGCCAGAACAATCGTCGAATCAGTCCACAGATGTATGTTTAGGTGGCCTAATTCAAGATTTTTGGTGATTGATTCGACTATTTCTGACAGTAACACCGCCCCGCAAAGTTCTAATCTAGGCAAAGAAATTG